GAAATAATCGCTTTAGTACATTCGGCAGGCAATTATACAATAATAATATTAAAATAGCGGGCCAAATCGGCTGCCAGGCCACCGGGAATTGTCCCCGTTCTCCCGATGGCCAGTCCGCGCCTGATTTCCACAGACACGCAGAACGTGCAGGATTCATATATTGTCTTTTTGCGGCTTAATATTCACAGACACTAGTCCATATTGCGTTTTGATTCAAGTGTACTGACCTACTTCTGATTTATAAATGTGGCATATTCCGTCCGCGTCAGGCTATAGGAATTCCGTTTTTGTGACTGGATTCTACGAACCAGTCTGTGTTTTCCGCATGGCGGGAGTTTTTCTTAGTAACTGTAACTGATTACAGTTACATTTATTTTGTAATTAAATTACGTAACGCCATTACATGTAACTAGTTACTCCCCAACACTGCATATGCGCTTGTTTCTGCTTCTTCTTCACCGTGTTTTGATCTAGACGTTCAATACTCTTTCAGAAGATGCGTAATAGCGCCTCCTAACGTACACCAGTGAAAACAGAAAATTCTGTTAATGGCGGGAAAAGAGTTAATGGGAGCATTAGCAAAACGTTCTAACAACACAGCTCCGATCATTTGGCCTGAGAAAGGTTCAGATTTACTTTCAGCACGATGTGAGACATTAAGATCTTTTGACACATTTGAGATCACTGGGGCCAAATGTGCAAAGTCCCAATTTGCTCTCCATTTAATCTCAGTGCTGTCTAGAAAGAACAGTCAAGTTATTACAGATCGCATTTGTGATTCTTATGTGCATCCTTAAGTGAACAGCAGCTAATTATAAACAAGCGATCGGGTTATTTTCGCCACGTTATGCAGCCTGTCACATGATAAATTATCTTCAATAAGCCATTGAAAACATATAACAATAGTTCATATGAGCCCGCTGATAGGAACCGTAAGCACATGCCTTCAGTCACGAGCGGCGGCCGCTGGGAGAACAGAGGGGGTTGTTTGCACAGAGACAGCGGCTGTGTTGGGTTTGCTCAAGTGGTAAACATGCAGTAAAGCACCTGCTGACCGCATACTGACAGACCGGTGTCAACCCCGCTGTCCTCTCGGCTCCTGTGTGGGAGAACCCCCAGTGAGGCCGCCTGCCTGTTTAATCACAGCTAATTGTGAACAACTGGTCACTTTGTGTGTGTGTGTGTGTGTTCAATGGTAATGTTCACATTCTGCCACTCTCTGTCAACGCCGGCTAATGTGTGAAGGGTTAATGAGGAGGTCTAATCTGAAACGGCCTCAGATGGGCAGCAGAAAGGCTTTGCATCTCCTTAACTGCCTAAAGACTGATTGACAGCATGCTGATACCCTCCTGATGTAGCTGCTGGTCACATTCAAACCATCCTCTCTCCCAAGGTGTGAAAAATTCAGGTATGGTCACTTATTAGGTTTGCTAAAGGTATTCCTAGGTGTCGACCAACTAGTAACTCCATTACGTTCAATTGCTTGCCTAATGCTTCAGCTAAAGATGCATGAACCAAGCCAACAGGGAATGTTTTCACTAACTTTCACTAATGTTAAAGGTATATTAATGCTAGGACAAAACGTTCTTAAAGTAATGTTTATGGAATGCTCTTATAAATGTATTAATATTTGATATACATTCTCATGATGTTGAGAGAAAATGTTCTCGGAACAACAATCTCAAATCATCCTAATTATGTTATTTGTTTCTTTTTTAGAACCTTTAAATAATGTTCTAATCACAACAAGAAACATTCTTAAGGCCCACTCACACCAAGGACGATAATTATAAAGATAACGATAAAGATATAGTTCTAAAAATCGTTCTCAATATTAAAGAATAGCAGCATCCACACCACAGCTATAACAATAAAAGCAAAGAGAAACAATATCGTTGGAATCACTTTCAGAACTATTTTTTTCTAGCTGATGAACGATAAAAACATTGACAGCCAGTCAGAATCCATCCTGCTATGACGAGCTCGAGAATTTAAAGCGGCAGACGAGCGTGCGCTTGGAATAAACAGACGATATCGTCCGCTGGTGTGGACGCTAATATAGGTATCTTTATAGTTATCGTTCTTGTTGTGAACGGGCCTTTAGAATATTTAAAATTAAAAGACCAGATAACATTCCATTTTGGGTGAAAAAGATAGTAGAACATTGTAGGAACGTTTTTGTAACCTTAAAATAACGTTCTAATCATGGCAAGACAACTGGACATTTCAATGTTCTTAGAATATTAAAAAATAAACATTCAAATACTGTTAAAAGTCATGTTAGCAAAATGTTGTAAAAATAACGTTCTAAGCAAGAAAACTGGACATATCAGTTTTTTAGAAACATTTCAAAACAATGTTCCCATAGCGTTTTTTTACAACCTAAATGTGTTAATTGGGTAATTCTCTGCATGCATTTGTAAAAGTGGAGATGATTTTTATGAGTATTTAAACTTTCATAGATATTTTTGAGCACCTAACCCTACCTCAAGAGCTAACCAGAAAACAGTAAAAATGTATTACAAATGAGTCGTGTTGCATTCCAAGTGTTCTGAAGGTGTACAATGTCCTTTTAATGAGAACAGATTGAAACTTTAGGTTTTAATGCCTAAAAATGTCCCCACTCCTTGAATGTAATCACATATCATTCAAAATATAAATCTGAACTTTAAAATGATGCATTATTGTGAATTATTGTGGCTGTTCAAATCATACCACAACATGCCAATGTTTTCTCATTTGAAAGCGAGTTCCTAGTTCATTGATATAGCGACACCTTTGGCATCATAACAGTGACACTAAAGGTGCTTGACCATGCTTTAGTTTTTGATGTCTTGGGATTGAGAACGGTTGTCAAATGAGTGAATACCTGGCTGCGGATCTGTCGGCTGGTGTTGAGGGTCAGGTAGTTGTGCTCCAGGTACCACGCTCTCTCCTGATACACCAGACTAGTGCCGTGAAGGCAGAACTGTACGAGAAACGGGAAAATATGCAACAGAAAAGACACATTAGTAACACAACTTAACACAAAGGCCTGATTTGCACATCTTGCATCTGATTTAATATTAACAGGTTGCAGTAGTCGCACTGCAATGCACACACTGAATGGTCACAAATGATAAAATGCATTACGTGTACAGTGCCTACATTGCAGCATGCTGCATGGTCAACTCTGTAGAAACTAGGGCTTGGAATCAATTAAAAAAAATTCAGAGGCATTGGGAATCGAGCATTGATTCAGTCAAAGGGAATCAGCTGCTCTTTAATTGCCCTTTTCAGTTTAATAGAGCTAATTATTCATTAATTAATACCTCTTGGTTGTTCGCTAATAGTGATGTGAAGTCCAATTCGTTTCTCCAAATCGGTTCTTTTAAATGGTTTGTTTGAATCCGTTCAAAAACATGATTGCAGCCATTCTTTGACAACTTGAATATGTTATGATATGCATAACATATTCAAATACAGCCTATTTTATGAATGCATTCCTGAATATTTCCTTTCCTTCACTTAAGTTAATGAGGTTTGTTGTCACTGTTTCATTCTGTGATCCTGCATGTCGAAAAGCGCATGACTGACAAATACTGATTAGCCTACGTCTTGGACAAGTTTCCTACATTAAATTTTGCACCTAAAACACTTACTACAGACATTGATGTACAATCACAGATTTGTTCTAGGTGTCTACAGTATATAAAAAGAATAAACTAGTCTTGTAAACTCAATGGTTTAGATAAAAAGGTAAAACTAGCTTGTTCTGTTGGTTTTGAGCCCCGCTCTGGACTACATGACGAGATAATAGACACTGATAATAATCAAGGAATACTAAGGATGTTTAAAACGAGGTAAGCCTTCATATCATGTAGTCACAGCGAGAACATATTCATCCAATCTTTAATTAATTAAAAAAAAAGAATCAAAACAACACTGAGAAATCGATTCTTGAAACCAACTTCCAGAATGAAGAATTAAAGTTCATTCCAAAAATGTCAGAATTAAACAGCCCAAGCAGAAACTGGTGAAATGCAATGCAAACCTATTTATCAACATGATCTTTTGAAATATAGGCTTATATAAGCAAATTAATGGCATGCACTATCAAACGCTGTCGGAAAAGTCTGTCGGGTCTGTTCCACATGCAAAAACAGACACATAAACAGCACTTTCAATTCAGCAAATCTGACTGGATCCAGACGATTCCAGCGGTTTACAGCTACAGTTTGAGGTTTGGGTTCAACTGGGTGTAAATGCGACACCCCTCCTTGTGTAGATTAGATTTCATGAGAATCAAGTTGTATAAGTTTGCAATCCCCCACCAGCAATCATTTTATTATTTAAGACATATTCAATACAGTAACCCAGAAATGCAGTCAGTTTGATTTAAATGCTGCTGATGCAAAATGTTTGAAACAGGCCTTAAGGGGCCAGTCACACGAAAAATAATAACTGTAAGGGTAAATACATTAGCATCCATACCAAAGCACAATAATGTTTTGTTTATTATAAGTGTGCACTGCAGTTTTGTGTTCTGCGGCTTTAAATGTTTGAGCTCTTTAAAGTCAGGTAGATTCTGATTGGCTGTTGAGGTCAACGCTATTGTTGTCATTAAAGTTGTGGTGTGGACTTCCCTATTCTCATATAATTAGAAAGATTATTACAATTTTATAGTTATTGTTACTTCCTGATTGTAACATTGAAACACATTTTCTGTAAAGCTATAAAACAATATGCACTGTGAAAAGTGCTATATAAATAAACTTGAATTGAAATGAATTGATTTCTTATCTTCCTTGGTGTGAACAGAACAGCCCTTTAGTCTTGGCTAACCGGACTTTCAACTAAATGCGCATATGGACCATATTGCATTTATTCTGGCAAAAAACTACCAGAAATGACAGGAAGAGACCATTTGAATGACATGACTACCATCCAACTATCATCTGATTTATTGGCATAAAAAGAAGTGGTCATAGGTTTAATTCCCAAGGAAAGCGTGAACTGATAATACGTATAAAAGCGTCTTTAATGCATAAAAGTCTGCCAAAAAATGCATAAATGTAAATGCAAAAAATGTCATCTTTAGAG